GGTCCCGCGAAATCCTTAAACCTACGATATCCAGGGGGGGGGGACCCGGACAGAATTTCGCAATCGAGCCACCAAAAAACATTACGAAGAACACATGGTTTCGCATCAACTGATTAGCTAAACAAGTTTCCGCGCGCAGAGCTCTTGCGAAATCGTTACAGGCCAAGAAACCCTAGGTTTTTCAAGATCTTCACAAAATGCTGCCAATACGGGTGCTAATTCTCGTTGCGCATCGTCGAACATCAGATTCGCGGCGCCCTTGCGCGTGTGCGTCGCGAGAGCCTTTGCAAAAAACGGGACGAACTGCAGACGCGCGCCTCGTCGCGGGCGTCTGCCGAAAACCTTCAAAACCCAACGGTTCCGGAAGGATTTCAAAATCGTGCGTCCAAAAAACCTACAAAAACCAAAGGTTTCGCAACACGGATTTTCAACAAAAGCGTGCGCGCGCGCTCTTGCGTCGTCGTCGTCGTCGTCGTCGCCGTCCTCCCTCCTCCCGCGTCGTCGTCGTCGTCGTCGCCTACGTCGTCCACTGTCTTTTCTCGTGTTCGTCGTCGTCGTCCTCTTTGGCGTCGTGGTCGTTTCCGTCGTCGTTGTCGCCGTGGTCGTCCTTCCTCCTCCTCCCACGTCGTCGTCGTCGTCCGTCCACGCGGATCTCGTCAACTCCTCCTATTTCGTCGCGCCGCGTCGTCGTCGTCGTTGTCCGTCGTCTGTCTTCCCTCCTCCTCGTCGTTGTCGTCGTCGGCGGTCCGCCGTTCCTTCCTCCTATCGACGTCGTTCGCGTCGTCGCCGTCCTCAGGCCTCCTACCCTCAGCTATGTCGTAGTTGTGTCGTTGTCGCCGTCGCCTCCTTTCACCCTCCCTCGTCGTCGCCTTCGTTGCGTCGTCGTCGTCGTCGGCGTGGCGTCGAAGTCGTCGTCGAAGTCTCGAGACGTCGTCGGCGTCGGCGTAGTCGTTGTCGTCGGTGTCGTCGTAGTTGGTCTTAAGAGGTTTTGCAAACCAAGTTGCCCGGGTGGGTGGGTGGGATGTTTGCGCGAGCAGTGGAGATGACGACTTCAAGCTCTGCAGAGTGGACTGCACCGCATAGATTGCACCACATAGCTTACACCACGAAAGTCGTACCACCTAACACCAAACAGATCGCACCACACACATTGCACAACATAGCTTGCATCACATAGACTGTACCACATAGCTTAACCACATAGATTGCACCACATAGAGTGCACCACAGAGATTGCACCACATAGACTGCACCACGTAGCTGACACCACATAGAGTGCACCACATAAATTGAACCACGTTGACTGCACCGGCGAGCCCCCAGACAGGACGGCGAGGTAGGAAGCAAAAGGCGGGGAGGAGGCAGGAGCAGAGAGGAAGGAGGAGGTCGCGACCGCACTGCTGTATCCGAAACGAGAACCCAACACAGGAGAGTTGGGAAACCATCAGGGCAACCATCGGGATAACCATGAAGACGCCCATCGGGACAACCATCGGCACAAACATCGGGGACAACCATTGGGCCACTGGACCACCGGAACGCCCATCGGGAAAACCAGCGGGACAACCACCGGGGCAACCATCGAGATAACCATCGGGCGACCATCGGACAACCATCGCGACAACCATCGGAACAGCCATCGGAAACACCACCGGGACAAGCGTCGGGACAACCATCGGGACAACCATCGGGAAAATCATCGGGGCAACCATCGGGACAACCATCGGGGGGACAACCATCGGGGGGACAACCGTCCGGACAACTGTCGGGATAACCATCCGGACAACCAGCGGGACAACTTTCACACCACGGCCGCCGCGTGGGGCGCCTCATTTGTCTGACTTGGCCCTAGCCTCTAACTACAGGCTCGGAAAGGTTTTCTCCTTACGCCGCCACATGGTCCAATGCCGAATAACAGGAGGATTTGTGTGAGCGATGGTTGCACTATGTGGTGCAGGGGCTGGCCGAACACACTGCGCTTCGGATGCCCACACCCAATGCCCCGGTTATACTGTAGCACAACAGTGCGGAATGTGAGCCAGTATGTGTGTTCAGTACACGCCGCACACACCGCCCCGTTTCCCATGTTTGCACCCACGACGTGAGTGAAATGTTAGTTCCTTGTCAGACACACATCGACAACACCCAATGTGTCTTGGGAACACCTCAGGGCCATAACGTCTCGAATGTATACGCCCACCACGTGTGCGAATGAATTGTTTCCTTCATTTCCCTGCACCACGTGACATAATATACTGTGTCCCGGAGCGTCGGCCCCCCCCAACGACGACGCCGCCGACGACGACGACGGTGGTGATTTTGACGACCATGACGACGACTACGACGAAGTTGACGTGCGCTCTCACCAAATCGAACCAGGGGTGTTGCAAGAGCTTCGCGGTTCCCAAGGCCAAACCTTGCACATTGCAAGGACGTCTCATGCGAAGAAGGACCCAAACCAGGCAAAACCAGGCAAATTGCGAGGACGTCTCAGGCGAAACAGGTCCCAAACCAAGCCAAACCAAGCAAATTGCGAGGACGTCTCAAGCGAAACTGGGCCCAAACCAGGCAAATTGCGAGGACGTCTCAGGCGAAACCGACCCCCAAACCAGGACAAACCGGGCAAATCGTGAGGACGTCTCAAGCGAAACCGACCCCCAAACCAGGCCAAACCAAGCAAATTGTGATGACGTTTCAAGCAAAACCAGGCCCAAACCAGGCAAATTGTGAGAAACAAAATCAAGCCCAAACCAAGCCAAAAAAAGCAAAGAGGACGTCTCAAGCAAAACCGGGCCCAAACCATGCCAAACCAAGCAAATGTTGAGGACGTCTCAAGCGAAACCGGACCCAAATCAGGCCAAACCAGGGGCCAAACCAAGCAAATTCGGAGGATGTCTCAGGTGGCTTGCGGCGCCCAACCGAGCCAAACCAAGCCAAACCAGGCCAAACCAGGGCCCAAGCCAGGCAGATGTTGAGGACGTCCCAAGTAGAATCGCCCAAACCAGGCTCCACCCACTCCTTCATACAATTCGAAGTAAAGGAGTGGATGCACCCAGGGCCCTCCCCCTGGCGCGAGCCCGTTTAGAATTTTATGGGGGGGGCTTGGACCACATGTCCGGCGAGGCGGGACGGGGTCGGGTGCGGAAGGCTTCGCTTGTCGTTCGGTTGGAGGTGTTGGACCACATGTCCGGCGAGGCGGACGGGGTCGGGTGCGGAAGGCTTCGTTTGTCTTTCGGTTGTTCCTGGGGCGTTGTTGTGCCGTCAGGAGAAATGTTTCCGAGTCTGTAGTGTGCGAACTTGCGCGACTTCGCCTCGCCTCGCCTCGCCTAGCCCGCACGCACTTCACGCACGTCACGCACGAAACGAAACGATGTCCCGGTTGGTGCATCTCACGTTGCACTTCGGGCTCGCCCCCAAATCTCCGACAGCACGGGAGTGGAGTGGCAAGGCCAGGGCTAAGGCATCCTTGGGGTGGGGGGTGCGGCTGCCGAAAGGGGCATTGTATTGGCGCCGTGTCTCCGAACGGCGGAAGGACTACCGCCGCCGCGACGACGCCACGTATGCAATGCAATAGTCTTGCCTGCACCTTCTGCTCCAGCGCGGGCCTTGCGGCGGCCTCATCGAGGGCAGCAGAACAACCTCACCAGGCCAAAACGGGAAGAGCCTTCACGTGAGGCATGTGCGCAAGTGCGGACGCATGCGGACCCTCTCTGGGCAATCGGCCGTACGTCCCTCCTGAAAGGAGGGAGGGGGGGCGAAGGAAGGGCAGAGAGAACTGAAGCTTGGGGAAGTATAATGCCACGTGACCTTTTCCGAAGCCTCGGGGGCGTCGGTCTGAAGCCACACTTCCATCACGCTCCTAGATGGCACCAGGGGTCATGTCCTGCATCCGCGAACTGTCTTAGAGGCCTCTTCCCCAAGCAGTGCTTGCACTTAGGGGTTCTTACTTCTTTTTCTATGGAGCAGGAAAACACTACCGCACGCGTCACCCGACGGGGCGTACTTGTCATATACCCACGTGTCAAAGTATCCAGCATGGTCACGCGAAGGTTGCCGCTGCAACCGACGACTCGGAGGAAGGAACCTGGCCACTCGCCACTGCTTCTAGCAGAGGAATGTGTTTGGTACAAGACGCCGGGGGAGTCATCGCGTCCTTGTGGTCGTCTTCCCCCAGCAAGCCTCCGACGGCAAACCCTGATCGCCCCAAATGCTTCACAAACACATTCAAATACAGGGTGCCACTCTCTGTGCGTCCATGGACGACTTTCAGCTCTACCCGGCCAATAGCAACCCATTGCGGACTTGTCCTAACGCTTTGCCGTACGCCGTAGTGGTACCCTCCAACTTGCTTAGCCTCTGCCCAAGAGCCTGTAATGTTCAGTTCTTGGAAATACATATCCGAACAACTTCCACCCAAGCGGCGCGCATCGGCCTGCACACGAAGCAATGCGTCTTCAGCGCTCACTCCGCGAGGGATGTTTATCAGAACATGTTTGCCCGCCTGCATTAAATCGAACCGCTCGCCGTGAACATTCTGAAGGTGGGGATCGCCGGTGGCAGCCACGCCTCCGGCAGCTCCACCCGCCATAGGAGCTGCGGGAAGAAACGTTGGTTGTGGCGTCGGCCAACCCAAAGGATATGTCGGGCTGGGCGTCGGGCTAGGGGTCGGGAACGGCGTCGGGAAGGCCGTCGGGTAGAGCGTCGGGAAAGCTGTTGGGTAGGGCGTCGGGAAGGCTGTCGGGTACGGCGTCGGGAAGGCCGTCGGGTACGGCGTCGGGAAGGCCGTGGGGTACGGCGTCGGGAAGGCCGTGGGGTACGGCGTCGGGTACGACGTCGGGTACGGCGTCGGGAAGGCCGTGGGGTACGGCGTCGGGTACGGCGTCGGGTTCGGCGTCGGGTTCGGCGTCGGGTACGGCGTCGGGTTCGGCGTCGGGTTCGGCGTGGGCTTCGGCGTCGGGTATGGCGTCGGGTTCGGCGTCGGGTTCGGCGTCGGGTACGGCGTCGGGTTCGGCGTCGGGTTCGGCGTCGGCTTCGGCGTCGGGTACGGCGTCGGGTTCGGCGTCGGGTTCGGCGTCGGCTTCGGCGTCGGGTACGGCGTCGGGTTCGGCGTCGGGTTCGGCGTCGGCTTCGGCGTCGGATACGGCGTCGGCCTCGGCGTCGGCCACGGCGTCGGCCTCGGCGTCGGGTACCGCGTCGGCCACGGCGTCGGCCACGGCGTCGGCCTCGGCGTCGGCCACCGCGTCGGCCACGGCGTCGGCCACGGCGTCGGCCTCGGCGTCGGGTCGGGCCCTTTCGCTGCCAGAGCTCTGTCCAGGGACCGTTGATCATCCGCGTCCTGGGAGCCCCTGGAGCTCCTGTCCATCAGCACCTCAGCCGCCTGGGAGCTGCTGGGGCTGGCCACCCTGCAGAGGCCACACGTTGCAGGGCAGGTCGCTTTCACGGTGCTGCCGTACTTCGCATCTTCGCAATAAGGCTGCACCGCAGCACAACCACTGATAGTGACGCCGATGCCGCTTGCCAGCGCAATAATTTGGGCGTCGTCATCTGCACATTTCGGCGTGGAACTCACACCGATCGAGGTCACAGTGGGTGCGCTGATGCTGAGGACGACTGCAACCACGGACCACACGGTCCAAGGCGCCTTCTGGACCGCCATCCCACGGAACAGAAAAGAAAGGACCCGCAAGCCAAGTGTTGTCGCGTGTGTGTGTGATTTGATTGCGGACAAAATGGAAGCTGCACCAAGTCTGCTTGAACCAGGATGCCTGAACCGGGATGCATGAAGCTTCACGAATCCCACCAGCCCTCTGGGCGTAGGTGGTTTAACGGATTGTGTCTCTCTCTTCCCTTTCTCTTTATCTTTCTCTTCCTTTTTCTTTATCTCTCTCTCTCTCTCTCAAAGCCCATCCTTCCCCTGCGCGGGGAAGGGTTTACCCCTGTCCCTACCCCTCCCCTGGGCCTGGGAGGGGGGGGCGCGAGACGGTGCAGCCCCCAAGATCGCCCAGTATGGCTCCAGGAGGGCCCCAGAGACCCCAAGATGGCATCCAAGATGGCTCAAGATAGCCTCCGACGCACAACCAAAAGGCCTCAAGACGGCCCCAAAACGGTATCAAGTGCCCTCCGAGCCCTCCAAGGACCCCCCCAAGAGGCAACACCGGCTCCGAAACCGAGGCCAAATGTATGATGCTTGCCGTCTCGCCCTTTCGCTTCCGGTGGGCCTCGGAGGCCTCAAGATGGCCCCAAGACAGCCCCAGAGAGCCCCAAGAGGTGCCCAAGAGGGGGCCCCGAGAGGGCCACAAGGACGCCCAAGAACGCCCCAAGAGCTCCCCTAAGGGGCCCCGAGACAACCTGTTCGAGCCTCTGGGGGGAGGGGGGGACCTGAATTGAGGATCCCCCCTTTTTGACTCATCGGGGCCAAGATGTCCCAAGAGGCCCCCCAGACCCTCCAAGGAGCCCCAAGAGGGCCACAAGACTCCAACAAAGAACCCCCAACAGGGCGCCAGAAGGCCCCACGGGGGCCCTAAGAGCGCCTCTCAGATGGCCTTCGTCGTCCTTCAATAGCCTCTCACAACAACATACCTCAAAGCCAGGCGTCTCCTCCTCCTCCGCCTCCTCCTCCTCTTCCTCCTCCTCGGCCTTCTCCTCTTTTTCCTCCTCCTCCTCCTCCTCCTCCTCCTCCTCCTCCGTCCTCCTCCTACTGCCTCCTCTCCTCATCTTACTCCCTCCGCCCTCCTCCTCCTCCTCCTCCTCCTTCCTCCTCAGCCTCCCCCTCCTCCCCTCCCCCTCCTCCTCCTCCTCCCTCCTCCTCCTCCTCCTCCTCCTCCTCCTCCTCTCTCCTCCTCCTCCTCCTCCTCCTCCTCCTCCTCCTCCTCTCCTCCTCCTGCCTCCTCCTCCTCCTCCTCCTCCGCCTCCTCACTCATCGCTCCTCCTCCTCCTCCTCCTCCTCCTCCTCCCCCCGCCTCCTCACCTCCCCCTGCCTGCCCCTTCCACCCCCGCCCCACCCCCCCGTTCCCCCACCTCCCCCGCCCCGCCCACGCCCCCGCCTCACCCTTTCCCCCCCCCTCTCCCTCCCCACCCCCGCAACCCCCCTCAACCTCCCTGCCCCAACGCCCCCCCCCCCCCCCCCCCTCCTTTTCCCCCCCCCCCCCCCCCCCCACAATTACTCAATAGATATTCTCCTCTTTCCCGCTGATGACGGTTGGGTGTGTTCGCCCCCCCCCCCCCCCCCCGCGTACTGCTTTTTACACACAGGATTCCCCGGAATTGGGTGTTCGCCTGCACTTTTGTTCAAAATGCTGCTCTCGCTGAGGCGCCGGCCTCATTTTCGGGCCCCGCTCGTTCCGAATCGCGTTCCCGCGGCAGCGCTGGCCTCATTTCCGTGCTTCCGCTCGTTCCGAATCGCGTTCCCGCTGCATCGCTGGCTTCATTTCCGCGTTTCCGCTCGTTCCGAATCGTGCTCCTGCTGCAGCGCTGGCGTCATTTTCCGTGCCATGCCACGGTATGCACTGCAATGCTAGGTTGCGTTCCGCTGCGCGATGCCATGCCTTCAACTGAAGCTGTGATATGCAGTGATTAAGTGCCACGTCGTGCTATGCCATGCTACGCTTCGATATTCAACGCCATGCTATGCAATGTATGTTCGGGGCCGCTGTGCGATGCCATAATTTGCGTTGCAAAGCTTTGTGACGCAATTCTTCACTACGCCACGCCGCGCCATGCTGTGACATACTACGCTGTGCGGTGCTCTTCTACGCCACGCCACGCCGTGCTCTACAATGCATCGCGTACCCTTTCGGGATCATTGCCCTGCTCGACATCCGATTGTACGAGTAGAGGGGATCTACGCCATGGTAAGGGATGCGAGGGAGGGGTAGGATGTCAGATATGACGCGAGCGCACCTAGGTTGCCCTCCCCCACCCCCTCCCCTCCTCACCCCTCCCCCCCCCTCCCCCATCGCCCTCCCCGATGGCATAACCGTGGCATGTCAATATCTGTCGCAAAAGACCCCAAGAAGACGCTCATAGAGCCAAAACGGCGCCAGGTCGACCTGTTCAACCTACCGTTTAACGACTCATCAACAAATGCCCCTGCCTCCCCCCCCCCGCAACCTCCAAAGGCACCAAGGGCGGCATCAAGGGCACCAAGGGCGGCTGTCGTAATCTCTCTTCTGCTCCTCCTCGCTGCAATCGTTTTTTGATCATCCAGGCCAGCACCTTGTAGCCAACCGGGAGAAAGGGAGATTGGCCGGTAAGTTTCTGGTAAATTGCGCGTCCCCTCTCATGAACAGCAGCACCACCGCTGCAATTCGCCACGAAGCTGGGTCGTTTTCCCAACATTCCTGGCAAAGTGCTAACATATTCTTACATGCAGTAGTCGAGAGACGAAGTAGTTTCCAAAATTATGAGGCTACCCCGTCGTGTCCTGCCGCTGTGCCAACAGCAAAGGCTTTCAGTGCTTCGGTCGGCTCGTCCATGGTGAAATAATTGGTGTTCTCGGGTAGCTGCTCTCCCATCTTTGTATTGTCCTCTGGGTGTATACCCGCACCACGCAGACTGCACCGCGTAGATTCTCCTGTCTAAAAGGAGAATAGAGTCTACCCCCCCCCCCGGACTTATCCGTTCCCCTTTTCGGGTATGTAAATCATATATGATTATGACCACTCGTCCGTCCTAAATATGAAGTCATAGCATCCCAGCCAAACCTGTTTCCCCCCCTGAGGTTCCCTTGTAATATATATATATAAGAAAAACTATGCGGTGACATTCGTTGTTCTAACACAACAGTTCTTCGCGAATCCCTTGCATATATATATATATATATATAAACACCCCCCCCCAAACAAAAAAAAAAAAAAAAAAAAAAAAAAAAAAAAAAAAAAAAAAAAAACGAAGTGCACACGCGCGCGTCGTCGCGCGCGCATGCCGAAATCCTTCAAAAACCTTGGAAAATTCTCGGTGTCGGAAGGGTTTCGCAATCGAGTTTCCAAAAACAAACATACAAAAACACATGGTTTCGCAACACTGATGTGCTAAAAAAGCTTCCGCGCGAGCTCTTGCGAAATCGTAAGGAAACCATAGGTTTTTCAAGAACTTCACAAAATGCTACCAAACGGGCTTCGCGCGCGCATGTCGAAATCAATCGAACGCCCTTGCGCGTGTGCCGTCGCGAGAATCCTTTGCAAAAAACGGGACGACGTGGACACGCGCGCGTCGTCGCGGGCGTATGCCGATAACCTTCAAAACCCATCGGTTTCGGAAGGATTTCAAAATCGTGCGTCCAGAAAACATACAAAAACCTAAGGTTTCGCAACAC